AAGTCGGGTTTGAACATCTGTCCGTAGGAAAAAGAAGTAAATATTTTCCAGATTTGCGTTAGGCTGGAACAGTAAAGAATTTTTGTCGTTTCATAACACGTTCTTAATTTTCAAAACATGCTCTAAATTTTCATAAAAAATTTGTTCTTAAATTTAAGAGCAAATTTGTTTTGTAAATTGCTTCCAAACACGTGTTCTTAAAATTAAGATGGATTTTTTTTACAGTGTGCACTTTATTGAGTCTGTACGTGGAACAGTTGGTCCGATCGACTTGAAAATTTGAGGAAAGCTTCCTTGGGGCGTGCTTCAACAGATTCGCATAGACCCAACCCTCCATCCCCTCTCAAAGGGGTGCACGGTCACTCGGGGGTAGCTACCCTCTGGGAAGGGGTTGAATATGTTGACCCCGGGTTTATCTGTATGGATGTGTTCTAAATGGCAAAAGGGATCATTCCTGAAAGTTTCATGCCAAAACTTCAACCCTAAGGTTCCAAAATGGCCGATATTAAAAAAAGGGGTTGCGTGTTTGTGGGGGTGGTTTGGCTGGGGGTTGTCCGATTCGAAAAAAACAAGCAGGCCCGCCCTTCCGCCAAACGAAGTTGCCAGCTTTGCTTCGCTGCGCCGGCAACTTCGTTCGGCAGGGACCGGGCCTGCTTGGCCTGCCGGCGACGATGGTCGGGCCTGCGGCCTGCGGCCCGACCATTTCTGTCACGCGATTTGCTGTAGAACATAATCAAATGATGTAACGGGCCTTCGGCCCGCAAAGCGTTGTCCTTAAAATTTGCCCCGTAGACACGAGAAAGGGATGTAACGGTGAAACACCGCGACTACAACCCACCCTTCTGCTTAGAAAACGTTTTTTCGGGTTGGGGGGAGGGAGTTTCTTACCTCTTTTGCGGTTTTGGGCCTTCTTTTACATTTAATTGTTCACTACAGCAATTTTTAACTTATTTTCGTCAAACAAGACCCTCTAGTGCCTAAACGGTTAGAGATAGAGCCAAACGGACGAAATTTTCGTCCACATGGCTCTATTACTGCGAGTTACCCCTAGGGAAACCATCTAATATTTTCTAAAATTAATGTTTATTTTTGGGCCACTTTCGTGATAGAAACTCCCTCTAGCGCCTAAACGGTGAGAGATAGAGCAAAACAGACGAAATTTTCGCCCAAAGGGCTTTACTTTGACGAGTTACCCCTTAGGAGCTCATAAAAAAAATATTTTTTTCTGACTTTTTTGACCTACCTTATTTTC